TGGATCAAAACCTTTCATCAAAGTTGTCCTAAAACCAAAACAATACCCGTTCTTGTCTTAGAACAACTTTGATGAACTTTTTCCACTCCAACTTTTTTGATCCACTTCAAATGTTGACTACTGTAGTACTGCACATATATTATAGAAATATGGTAGTATGCTATTCTGAAAAACAACAACAACCAAATCAATCAAGGATCTGGGACCATCCGGCTTACTTTCCCGTCTTTCCATCCCAAATCTTTATAGACTTATCGAAGGAAGCGCTGGCGATCAGTCGTGTGTCTGGTGAGAACAGCACCTCATTGACCAGCGCTTGGTGACCCGTCAAACGGGCCACTGGCTTCTTCTCCTCTGCTGGGTTCCATAAGAACATTGTGAAATCATCTGATCCTGACACCAGCCTCTCATGACCTTCACCCTTAAGAAGACCAAATGTTCAGGTTTATACACAAATTCTTTCTCTTACAGGTCGATACTGTATATAGACTGGTCTCACCCACTCTGACACCGTTGTAACGCGTCAAAGCCTTTTCCTTGATCTCTTCCACTGTAGAAAGCAGAAACATTTATATTTATAAAATTAACCATATTACATCTACTGCAGTTCACAAGTTTGGGGTCAGCAAGATATATATACAGTAGTCAACATCTGAAGTGGATCGAAACCTTTCATCAAAGTTGTTCTAAAACCAAAATGCATTCTTGTATTAGGACAATTTTAATGAACTTTTTTGATTCACTTCAAATGTTGACTACTGTGTGTGTGTGTGTGTGTGTGTGTGTGTGTATATATATATATATATATATATATATATATATAATGAATACTTATTCAGCAAGGATGCATTAAATTGATCAAAAGAGAGAGTAAATACAATTATAATGTTACAAAAGATTTCTATTTCAAATTTCAAATAAATGCTGTTCTTTTGAGCTTTCTATTCAAAGAATCCTGAAAAAAAATTACCATTTTCTACAAAGCTATTGAGCAGCACAACTGTTTTCTATGGAAGTTTGTTTCTGCCTCTTTTTATCTCATAATTCACTTTTTTTGAGCAATTCTGAATTGATAATTCTCAGAATTATGAGATATACAGTCAGATTTGTGAGATATTAACTCAGAATTACATCCTTTTTTTCCTCTGAATTCTGAGTTTATAATTCAGTTTTTTGTTTCCACCACAGAATAAAAAAAATAAAAATAATTGTGACTTTCTATCTCACAGATCTGACTGCAATTTTGAGTTCATATCTTACAATTCTCACTTTTTTGTTCTTCCAGAAAAAAGTCTGAATTGTAAGATTAAATTTCATTTATGTTTTTTATCCCTTGGCGGAAACAAGCTTCCATAATTTTCAACATTGATAATAGTAAGAAAAGTTTCTTGAAAAACAAATCAATGATAATGATTTCTGAAGGATTATTATTGTAAGATATGAACTCAATATTGTAGGATATGAACTCAAAATTGAGATAAAAACAGAAGTGTGAGATAAAAAGTCAATTATTATTATTTTTTTTAAATGTTTTTATTTTGTTGCGGAAACAAAGAAGAGAGAAAAAAAAGAAAATTCTGAAATTATATCTCACAAATTTGACACTGAAGACTGGAATAATGATGCTGAAAATTCAGCTTTGCATCACAGGTAGGGATGTAACGATTAACCACGAGCCGGTTGAAAATCGATTTAAATATGTGACGATTCAAATCGGTTGAGATGCTAAACAAATCGCGATTCATAGGAGTTTATATGAATGTATGTCTGAGGGGAACTTACTGTCTTTCGATGGTATTTTTTCTTTCCTTCTTGCCTCTGTATAATGCATATCGATCACCATTACTTTGTACCCACGTTCTCACTACATGCTGTTCTGTTGTCAATAAACCAAAGACCGTAGAATACACACATATGACGATGGTGCTGCCACCGACTTTTACGTTCTCTGCATGTGTATGTGCTACACTACTGACTCCAGGGTCCTATGAGGAGCTGGTAGCTGCCTCAATTGTGCCTGTAGCGGTAACCACAGTGATCGTACTCTATCGTCTATGACAGAGCTGGTGATTTTTCTGGACTGAAAAAATTGGACTGGCTAGGGATGTAACGATTAACCACGAGCCGGTTGAAAATCGATTTAAATATGTGACGATTCAAATCGGTTGAGATGCTAAACAAATCGCGATTCATAGGAGTTTATATGAATGTATGTCTGAGGGGAACTTACTGTCTTTCGATGGTATTTTTTCTTTCCTTCTTGCCTCTGTATAATGCATATTAAAGTTCATGCGCTGCTTTGTTTACAGCAGAAACCAAGGAAACGCTTTAAGGTATATTATTATAGTGTTATATTTCAATTTCACAAAGAAACGTACAGTATTTTGTCTAAGCAATAATAAAAGGACACATTTAATTTATAATTTGTCTTAAATCTCATTTTGTAAAAAATAAATCGTGAATCGAATCGAATTGTGAAATCAAAATAGTGAATCGAATCGAATCGGGAGTTGAGTGAATCGTTACATCCCTAATCACAGGAGTAAGTTACATTGTAAAATATATTGAAATAAAAAACAGTTATATTAAATTGTAATTATATTTCACAATATTACTGTTTTACTGTATTTTTGATCAAATAAATGCAGCCTTGGCAACCACAAACCTTTGAACAGTAGTGTAGTGTATAATAATGAATCAACTGCAGCTGTTGAAACATACATGATCCAGAGAGATCCTGAGGGTTTATGGTTGCAGTAGCAGGCTCAAACGCTCCTGTGCGCAGAACGTAGTCGGTGCTGAGGGCCAGCGTGTTGACCCAGTGAGCGTGACCTTGCAGTGTACGACACTGAACCCCCTACAGCACAGACCAGAACAGATATTCACACCATCATTCAGTCAAACACCCTAGTAAGTATAGTTTCAAGTAGGGCTGCACGATAAATCGCATGCGATATTTAATGCCGGCTCTGTGTAGTTAATGCTGCTCAATGTGAAAGCACACACGTGATGGAGATTTACCGCTGATTACAGAACCGGCTTTACTGATAAGATGCGCGTTAAATATCGCATGCGATTTATCGTGCAGCCCTAGTTTCAAGTTATATTTAATCCATCATGAGTGGACAGATCTTACATCTTTGGCTCTCCAGACTTTAATGGTTCTGTCCTGAGATGAGGTGTACAGGAGACCATCACCTCCCCATTTTACACACGTCACAGACTGTGTGTGTCCGGTCAGGATCTTATCACAGCGGCCCAAAACCGTATCCCAGATCCGAATCGAACAGTCTTTACTGGTGCTAGCCAAATACCGACACTCTGGGTTCCTGTGATGGAGTGAAAATGGCTGATTAATTGTCATGTTATTTTATTACTTTATTATAAAATGTTCAGAACAACGTCTTGAAGTCAGGTAACCGTAGTATAAGTGGAATAATTGACTCCGGTCCATTGAATTATTAGAAAATAATGCACACCTGAGGTGTAGTGGCATCACTACCTCATTATTTTCTAACATTTCAATGGCCCGTCGTCAATTATTCCTTACATAAACAATATAATATTAATTATTATAATAATTATATTATAATACAATTTAATACAAAAACTAAAAATAAGCTAATAATTTTTTTTAATTTATATTAAATTTGATTATGAATTCACTGTGGAGCTAAAATAACAAAATTAACACATTCAAATTAACAAATATAAAACATACTTTAAATACACGGCCAAACTGATTTTTCTAAACTCACAGGTGAAGAGGTTCCCAGCACAGCCAGGTGATCCACTTTGTATGTCCCGTCAAGGTCTTTCCAATCTGACTTCCTGTGATCGGATCCCACAAGAAGATCTGCAAAAATCATAGGAAATATAAAACAATATGTTAATCCGACAGAACGTCTTGTACACTGGAATATCAGTGACTTAATAATAAACGTGATATGCTCACCTGACTGTTTTTGCATCCTGATGCTAGTTTCTTGCCATCTGGAGACCAGGCAATGGACAAAATCCAATGTGTGTGTCCTTATAAAATATGATGGACAAAAGTTCAGATGCATGGTTTAACTTACAGATGCCCTGTATTTGATATCACTGAGTGAAAAACTGACCCCTAGCAGTGTGGTGTGGCGTTTCTGTGCTCAGATCCCAAAACCTCACTGTTGTGTCCCCAGATCCACTGGCAAGATATCTGAGTAACATCCCCAAAAGCTTTATTTGAATGCATGCAGCCTGATTTGTTAAATATTTATATA